TGCATGTACCAAACTCAAACTGTAATCATAACTTTGTACATTTTAGAAATGTTTGCAGTCAAGTAAATAGAAATTCGTGCTCGAATTTAGATTCGAATTACTTTCTCTTGGGCTCCTCAGAGATCAAAATACACAGTGATTAAAATATTTCACCAATCTCCAGATTGCATCCTCATGGGTAGATTCTAAAATTTCCAAGAGTCTCCCAATTTTGCTGTGAACTTCAAATCTTTTTAAAAAAAAAAGATTCCCAGTAAAAAGAGGTAGCAAGAACTGACGATGCTGGAGTCAGAGATAACAGTGTGGAGCTGGAGGAGCACAGTGGGCCAGGCAGCATCAGAGGAGCAGGAAAGTTGACATTTTCTTCAGAAATGAATTCCCAGTCAAAAAAAGGTGTTCTTTCTGAAGATTCTCACGAAGTCCTCAAAGGAGCTGCAGCATGTTCCTCACCCTGAAACTGGCAGATATCTAAAAGATCAAGTAAGGCCACTAAACATGGCGATAAAGTTCCTTCACCAGCACTAAGGAGGCAATGGCAATTTCAGAAGCGATTTCATTCCTTACGGAATTTGCAGTGGTTTATTTATTGATTAAGTTTTATTACGATATGCACTAATGTTTCCAAATATTTGATTAGACTCCCAAACTCTTCAGTTTCAAATGCAATAATTTGGTTGTAATTAAAAAGGAGCTTGAACAATTTAATAATACTGGTGTACAAACTGCACAACACATTTTGTAGCTCTCAACATGATTTTTTTTTTGAATTCTAACGATTTCAACGGAGTGGCTATTTTACAAATTAAGCACATGGGTTTAATTCAAACCAAACACTTTCTAATAAAAAATGAAGCCAGATACACATTTTCCAGCTCCACTTACACAAAATCTGCATTGTCTTTCACAGTTTTCTCCTCTTTTAAAATGTTTCCATCTCCAAAGGCAAATTCTTACAGCTGAAAAACTGGGACTTATGTATCGTGTGCATTAGTCCCAAAGTAATTCCCAACAGTAACTTAGATATGAAACACGTAGATTTTATCCCTGATGATTTGCCCAACATTTTTTGGGAATGGAGTGCAACTCAACCACTCAGTAGCTTCCAACAGTTCTATCACTTGTCATTTTCAATATAGATAGATTTCCACAGTGCATAGTTTACAGGTGCCATCTGGGTAACCATGAACCTGAAGCGCAATTAGTAAGGAAACAAACAGTTCTTGTTGGAATACAACTCTTTCCAGCTTGGCATGTAAATCAGCAATTAAAATTTGGCAGGAACTCCGAACAGTTTCCACACCTAAAATGATGCACACTGAACAGACATAAGGGACAAGGAAAAACAGGTTGTGCCCCTATAAACCATTCACTGTGGCTTCTCTTTGCAAATGAAGATCAAATAAAGATCTATGTACAAGTGTGGCTCCATACTCACTTCTTCATTGCCAGTGTCAAGTTACCTGCCAAAAACAAAATCACCACCCACAAACACAGCAACAACTGCATATATTCAAGTACAGCAACCACTAATATCTCTACCACTGCTTCCTCCATCAATGCTACAGAGACCTGGAAAGAAATTGCTTGAAATCTACAAAACATCAGATTTATTTTGCTTCATTGCAGATGGGAGAACATTTTTAGATACTTGTATTTTACAAATCAATCTGCCCAGTAATGTTACCATCCAAGAACTTTAAAAATCACGTAAAAATAAACAAAGCAAATAAAATCATGAAAGGCAAGCGTAGCGTCCAAGATTTTAATTGGTTATCAAGTAATAGCTTAAGTAATAAGAACCCCATTACAAAGTAGCAATAAGTTGTGGCTTGGTTGAAGTCTATGCTACTAATCACTACCGAGTTAAGGTTGCAGAAGAAACACAGAAGAATCAAGTGTCTCTCTTCTTCGATGGGTCTATTTACAAAGGAAATCCCCTAGTGGCTCAAAAAATAAATGCACCGTCATGTGTGATACTGAGCCAATTTGAGAATGTTCCAACTTGCTTCAATGCACCTAAGGTAGGAGAAGGAAAACTGCTTAGCAATTGGAAAGTACACGTCAACACAGAAGACAGGTTCGACTGCCATGTTCCTTTCAGCAACGCTGGCTATCCAAACTCCCCAAAAAAGGATGACCACCGAGATTGGGTATCAGAGAAGCATCAGTATCTGTGAAAATGTTTCCTTACTGGCTCAATTTTTTCAGAAGAGGAAGTAAAGAAATTGAATGGGAAAAGACACTTGAAAAGCCTGGAAATTAACCTCCATTAAATGCAGCCAAAATAAATATGTTTAAGTCAGCAGACAAAGGTTGAAAGCTGAAAATTGAAAATTGAAAATGTACACTTTTCCTCCCAAAAACTTAGAAGTACGCATATGTTTGTGTTACCCAGGATATAGTTTTAATACAGCAGTTTTATTTAACTTTTACTACAAAATGCATGTTCACTCCTTTTCATGTTAATAGCATTAGTCTTGTATGAAATATATCGGAAAATGCTGGTAAGAAAATCAATGTAAAGCCAAAATAATTGGAAATATAGCTAAGAACTTACAATATTTATGAGTAGCCAGTTTTGTTCTGTGTTTATTTGGTAAACCAAAATACAGCATTACCCTTCATACTGTGGCATGTGGTGTAAAGTCATATTTTTGCTTGTAGTATTTTGGATCAGATATTTCCTTATATAGAGGCAACATAAAGTGACAATCTTTTGCCAACAGGCTTATCTTCCACTGTATGCTCCTTTTGAGCAAAATTATTAACATGTAACAATTGTTTCAACAAACATAATCCAGTAAACTCAATACCTGATCACCTTCTACTTTACAAATAGTACACAAAAAGAGAAAATTGTCAAGAATACATCAATACTCCTCTCTCAAACAACAAATTCTAAGAACAAACAATTCAAACATTTGTTAGAGCTCAAAATTTCCAAATTGAGTAAACACTCCATGAAACTTCAAGATTTAAATGAGGAATAAGTCTTAGGAGTTAATAAAGAAATTAAAACACAAGTATAATTTTAAATAATAGACTGTGATGGTATTTTTTATAACTTTAATCATAGTATGCAGCTTACTATCATTCACAAACTACCTACTACTTATTAGTTTAGGATCATTTGTGAACTGTCACCTGTTTGGCTCCAAGTTGTAGGCATTACTGCCCAATGTACCAATAAGTATACACATATTGAAGGCTGCCTTTATAACTCGTCAGTCTTTAAAACATCCATTTATTTTAAATTATCCTTATTGTGACAGAAACATGGACTTTTTTTGCATCTTACTTCACCAAACCACCCACTCCCTCTAAAATTGTGACTGAACATTGTAGAGAAAGCAGAATGAGTAACTGCAGAGTAGGATTAAAATTATTTGTTGCATATTATGTACGACCAACAACGACTTAAGTCTGCAGGATAGTGAATTCATGCTGAGTATGTTATAGATAACTACTGACATACAAAGAATCACTGCAAGGAATTAATTCTTTTGTATTCATAATATAAATCCTTGAATGAGATTATAATATCAAAACTAATTGTCTGTTATTCCCTACTAAATACACGTTGTGAAAAGAATAGGCTGTGGTCAATCACCAGATAGGTTTTGTATCTAATGTGAGAGGCAGGCCCCAAGTCACAAGCAGCTCACTGGTTGAGCCGAAAAGATTATATTTCTTCTACATGTTCTTTACTTATGCATTCCGGGGTATTTACTTTAGTTAGCCGTAGCCAATTCGAGCGAACTTACATCGGGCCCATGTAAAAAAAACGCAACAGATGATGGGAAAGCACTGGTCAGTCCTTCCAGGCCTTGCTGCTGCCTCTAACCAGCCTGTCAATCCCAGCATCAGATACAAGCTGCACTGTTAAGACTCTGCCACAGACCGCAATCTTGTTGCTTTCTCTCTTTCCGAAGCTGTATTTACAAACATTGCGAAATGGCAAGTTCAGGCCATTCTGTTTGGAAACTGCGGGGTTTCATCTTCATCACAGTGAAATACAGATCATCAGGAAGCTGACATTGTTCAGTGGAACCAAGTGATCCACACTGCTGGGAGCTTTGCCCTCACCTAGTCTGCAATCATTAAACGGTAAGCAGAGCAGTGGCATCCTTCTGCAGCCAGAGCAGGGTCACTCTGGTAGGGTGAGTGCTCACTACACAAAGCACTCAGAAACTCAACACCACCGTCATTCCCAACCTAATGACATGTAGTCAATATCTTCAACAACGAACATGTTACTGGTGTAAGTAAACAAAGGAACAATAATCTATCATATTCCAGGAGGAGGAGGTGATGGTGGCGGTGGGATTGGGGATCTATCCTGCCCAGTTAACGTGCGGCCTTACACAATGTGAAAAGTTACAACAGCACAAACTACCAATAATTTTAGATTCCAACTCCTTCGTTTTACCCACCGTGACACCGATTCGGATGCCAGCGGAAAATCAATTTGATAGCCCCCACACAACCTCCCGGAAAAAAAAAGGCAAGAGGCTGGGATTCCAATCGGAGGGACACAGAGACAGATTCCACCCCCACCCCAAGCAGTAACTGCAAGGGGGGGGGGGGGGGGGGGGGGAATACACAACCGGCCAAGACTCCAGAACGGAGAGGATTCGGAGACATAAATTCCGAAAAAAAAAACACAACGGCAGGTTAAATGCACACAGCCAGGTTTAACACAATCTTAAAAATAAAACATACACACACCCAAGTTCCCACACAGAATAAACACAAATGTACACAGACCTGTCCTGGGTGGTTATTTTATAATATATATATATACACACATATATATATATACATATAGCGATTATTTGAATTTAAAGTGCGTCGGTTTAAAAGCTCTCGGTGCCGGGACAAAAGGGGAAGGAGGTTTACATCCAGTGGCGGCAGCAGCAGCTACTGAGCTGCTGTGAGCAGAGGCCCCGCAGCCCCCGGCTCAACCTCTCTCCGCTCGAGCCTCCGCTTTTTGTTCCAAAATGTTCCGAGTCACCGAGCGCGAGCGGAAATCCCCGGGAAAACCCCTGAGTGACAGCGCGCTGGCCAATCAGCGCCCAGCACGCGCCGGCCTGCAGCCAGCACAAAGCAAGCGGCTCCTCCGGAGGGTTGCACCGCAGCAACGCAACAACGTGATCCGCGCTTTCTCCATTCACTCTCTCACACACACACAGACAAGAAAAGCAGGGCAAATGCATGGCACAGGCCGATCACCTCCACGAATTCTCAGCGCGCTAGACACACACACAAAACAAAGGACGAATCAACGGCACACCGATTGACCATCCTCGTTTACCTCGGCTTCCTCGTTCACCTACCGATGAGAAGAAAGCAAAAAACTATGATCCCGGAAAAGCTACAAGTTTACATGCACGATGATAAACGTTACACTTTTTCACGTTGGAAGTTCGTTTCCCTGATTCCATCAAGCCATTCAAAAGTGCACAACTCAAATCAGATCGCCGCTTGCGAAGTCATGGGCAAGGCTTCTTTATCCACGATATGAAATGCTACCCACAATTTAAGTTGGCCGCATACGCAGGTCATTTACGATTTGTGCAAGATGTTGTATTTATACAAAAGTACATGTTGGTCAGCTTCAGTCAAGTTAACACTGAACAGAACTGAAGCTTATTATGATAAATCGATAATGTATTATTAGACACGAAGGAACTATCCAGTGCATCATGGAATTTCGCCGACTGAGACTGTAGAAGGCAGTTTGCTGTAAACGTACTTCAAAACATTACGCTACAGAAATTTGAGCCAACAGATTTGTGTCAATATGTTTTTCTTAGCCAACCAATCAATCCAATGTATCCGTCCTGTTTACTTCCCACAAGCTCTAATATTATTAATCAGCCCTCCAGTAATTTCTCATTAAAACTTTTGCTCAGAACAAACATTCAAACACTTCAACCAATCTATCACCTAAACTTTAACATTGCCATCCTAAGTCTGTGGACTTTGACTACTGGCCTACCAATATGGGGAAACAATTCACTCCATCACAGCCTACACTACCTTAAAAACCTCTTCGGTCACTAGCTCATTCCAATCCAGTTCCTAATGGTAATAGGACTGCATATCCACATTTAACTGGCGATAAGTTCCCGTGAAGAAAAATGAAAAAAAAAAAGTATTATACTGATACAGAGGGTTAGGTTTACCTAGCTTGAAGCTGCAGCCTATTCTGGTTACATAGCAGAAGTAGCTTTATACTGCATCAACTTTTGCTGCAGGTGGAACTGGGAATATATGAGGCCAGCTATAGGTGCAACATATTCCACTGTTTGATTAAAACAAAATTCATACATAAAAGTGGCTAGAAATATTTGATTCTGCTTGATAAAACTTGGAAAGCTAAGTGATATTTTGAAACCTAGTTAGTTATAAAACTCATTAAAAATGACAGAGCAGACAGTTACCCATTCAACTGATGGGGTCAAGAAGGAATTGCAGTTGTTGTAGGGAGCAGAAATTAGAGGTAGATATCTCTTTGCAGCTGAAAATTGAGAGTTCTAAAAGCTGTGTTGCCTGCCTAATTGTCAGGGCCGGAGACGAACTTGTGATGGGAGAGAATAGATCCAATTACCATCATCCTTTTGGATACTGACCACGCAGTTAGGACCAAGAAAGAGGTTCTGTCAAGCAGACTCCCAAGTTAGAGGCTAAATCTAAAACACAGAACCACAAAGATAATGATCTCTGGATTACTATCTAAGCCTATCTGGATTTGATCCAGTAATTGACGGATAGCTTACTCTGTCTATTACATACTCCTTCCACTATTTAACATGCAGGAAGCCCTGTGTTAGAGCTTTACCAAAGTGATCCCTCATTGTTGGGCATACCTGCTCCTGGCAATGCCCTCCTTTTCCTTTCATTGAACCAAGGTTGATCCTCTGGCTAGTTTAGTAACTAATATGCTAGGCCGTGAGTGTACAGACTCTGATGCTGATGGTCTGTAGCACTCATTTGATGCCCAGGTTTGTTTGATCTGTTTGAAGTCAATCCCATTAAGGGCAATAGTGATGCCACGCAACACAACGCTGGGGATCCTCAGCGTGAAGACAGGAATTTGTCTCCACAAAGACTGAGATGGTCACAGTTCCAAATACTGTTATGGACATATGAATTGGTGACAGGAAGATTGGTGAAGTTAAGGTTAAGTAATTATTTTTCCTCTGGAGGCTTCCTCAACACCTGTCGCATGCTTAATTATGCACAAACAGAAATAAACGGTAGCCATTTCAGAGACACAATGTTATAAATTGAGTGCGGCAGGACCTGAATATTCAAGGCCATGTGACATCTGGAAAGGCGAGAAGAAAGGAAATTGTGTAGCCTTGTGCCTCTCAGAGTGAAAAATGATCTAAATTCGGGGGAGAGGAACAAAATATGAAATCAGTTTGTGTGGAGATAGGAAAAATCAAAGGAATGAACTGAATGTCTTGGGAACAGTGCAGGGCAAAGTATAAATCAGGAAATAATAGGGGGCGAGTGCTGTAACAAAGTTACTGTGATGATCTTGTGACATTCGACGAATCAAATTTGTAAAAGTTTGGACGATAAATAGGTAGAGTATATTCAGGACAGTTTCTGAGAACAACACATCCTGGAGCCAATCAGGGAGCAGGTTACTTTACTGCTGATAAAGAGCAATGAGGTAAGATTTATTAATGATCTCATAGTGAGGGATCCTCTGTGTAAAATATCAAAACATCGTGCAGGTTCACATTCAGTTTGAGACCGAAACCAATGTCCCACTGCTCGCTTTCCTCATTCCCCAACGATCTCCCAGACCCCAATCCACTCCCCCCATCTCCCTCTCTCGAACTCCCCACTCCGCCCCGGCTGCCTGGACGGACGGCCTCGCTCCTGACACTATCCAGCAGCAGCTTTCTGAAGGGTCGAAACTGATCAACAACCGCGTCGAGCAAAATGCTTCGTTTTAAAGAAAATGCAGTTAACGTGGTCCTAGCTCCGGACGCCAGGCTAACAAGTTAGTCATTGTCTCTGGGATCACATTGAAGCGTCTGCATTATGGGCTCACTGCCCAGGAAAGCCAAATCGCTCATCTCCCGGAATGTTAGAGACAGCTTTGGGAAGACAAACTCTGATTCCGCGAAACTCCTCATTTCGGGAAGCGAAAAGGACTCGGGTCAAAAAAGATAAAGATTCTGCTGTGAGACATAAAGCAAAAGAGGAGGAGCTCCATCGGCGGTCAGTCAGAAGAGCTGAGCGAATAAACAGACTGAAAGGGCGGAGATAGAGCGAGGGAGTGTTCAAATTTGCACACCGAGGAAAAAAAATAGATAAATCTGTTAATGAAAAACAAAATTTTAGCTAGGTAGATAGAGCGCCAGAGCAATTTAGCAAGCAGTCGGGTAATAAAAGAACTAGATTTAAAGTGAAGTAAGATATTATGCATAGAATCCCGAGAGTATGGAAGCAGGCCATTCGGCCCATTGAATCTGCACCGACCCTCCAAAGAGCATCCAACCACCCTCCCAGTAACCCCACATTTACCATGGTCAATCCACACATCTTTGAACTCTGGGAGGAAATCCATGCCAACACTAGGAGAACGTATAAACTCCGCATAGACAAGTCACCCAAGGCTGAAATCAAACCCTAGCACTATGAGACAACAGTGCTAACCACTGAGCCACCATGCCACCCCACATGTATGGGAGAGATGAGGGTGAGTTGCAATTTGTGAAAGATAATATTTGTGTGACTGTCAAGGAGAACTTTGCGTTATTCAAGTCAGGAGGTGACAAAGGTATGGATAAACATTACAGCAGAGTACAATGAACTAATCATGAATGGAGGCAATACTGTAAAATGGAAACAGGTCAAGATGAAGTGGCTAGGATCTCTCCTTTAAGGCTTAACAAGAGTTGTTAAACATGACACTGAGACTATTCACCATCGCGTTCAGTGAGAGCCGTTAGGGAGAGTTGAGTACCAAGTAATGGGTTTCTTGTGAAAGCTAAACTAGGTGACTTCAGTCTTGCTGATATGAGCTTCCTGCTCATCCACAGTTTGATTGTGATTAAGCATTTGGACAGTGCATTGATGACCAAGACATGGTGACAGAGAGCAGAGCTGGGTATCAAAAGGCTCAGTTGTTAGCTCCATGGGCCGCATAGTTGGCTTACAATGCAGAATGATGCCATCAATGTGGTTTCCATTCCCACACCAGCTGAAGTCACTATGAAGGTCCTGCCTTCTCATCCTCACCTCTTGCCTCAGGTATGCTTAAACCCACTACTAATTATCTCATTCTAATGAGAGAGAATGGAGCTATAGTGAATTTTGAGGGCTGGACAACTGTCTTACAATGCAGAGTGATGCCAACATCATGGGTTCAATTCCTGCAGTAGCTAAGGTTAGCATGAAGAGCGCTTCTTATCAACTTCTCCCCTCGGCTGAGGCATGGTGACCTTCAAGTTCTAATGAGAGAACTGCCCTATGGTCTGGTAGAACTATGGTAACTTTTATATGCTGGAGACTCAAGTTCTTTGTATTATTCAGTTTAACACTTCCAAACTGAGCTTCTCCATTGAATTTAGCTGCCCTAATCTAATTTTCTTGCTCTATTCCACAAACTTTAATATTCTCACATTTCCAATACTCACGCAAAACCTCCCTGTGATACAACATTCATTACAAGTGAAAAACTATTTTATAGCTTTCCCCATTGTTGTACAAGTAATTATTCAGAATCTATCCTTTGGTTGCAGATTTAACAAGCCAAAACCTTTTATAATTTGAAAATATTCTATTAGATGAATGATCATTTTCTATTTTTCAACAAAAATGATTATTTCTTCATTTCTATACTCTCACTCTCCTAATTGTCACACTTCTGAAACCTCAGTGCACTTTTTCCAGATACTACATTCAAAATGTCACCTGTAGCATTTACAAGTATGTGCAAATTTAGTATAATTTCCTTGCTTAGGATAATGTCCCTGTGGATAAAACTCAGAATCTCACTTGTTTCTTTTGGGGCCTGTTCTACTTCAATCCCTGGTCTTTAAAGATCCATGTATCTGTATTCCTTCATCTCTTTATTTCTCCATACTATTTGAGCAAGAAAGCTAATTCATTAT